TTTAGGGGCCAAATATTTTTAAGGAGATATAATTTTAAGATGTGGGTCAAACACTTTGTGCATCAAATCCATGCGTGGTAGATGATTTTTTTTAATCTTGAAGACCCTTCTGTGTCCTGCAATATAATTTTCTCTTATATAAAAAAAAACACCTACAAATATGTAATTATTAATATTCTATGGTATGCAATAAAAAATTCTTACACTTTTCCGATCTCGCCACCATTGTGGATCCTTGAGTATTCTTACTGTACCAGGTTCAATGGAAACACCAGTACGTCGAACAAGCCTTTCATATACCCCGTACAAGGCTCTAAAGTCATCGTGTTTACTCTTACATTTATCTCGATCAATTATAAATCCTGTTTGTTCACGAATCTTTTTGATAATATTTCTTTTGCCGTCTCTTTGTGGCAATGTCGAAGAATAGTTTATTTTTTGCACTTCTTCTTCTAATAATTCAATGAATAGAGAATTCAACATTGGCGACCATCTAGAAAATTCTTACAATTTATATTTCACAACTCACAATAATTAAATATATTTATGTAGTATAGTTCTTGTATAGCTAAACTTTTGAAATATAAATTTACCATATTGTTTTCGTTTGATGTTCCACCATCTGGATCTCCCGCACCGCTCATTGTTGTAGCTCTGCTAAACAACAATTAAAAAACATATTAGTTATATGTAATTTTTTAAAAACAATCGATAATATTTACACACTATATACATATTTAATGATGTATAAATTCAAATATAAATACTTATGTTCAATTCTTAAGAAAAAACGATTATGTATAGTTTTTAGAAATTTATTTAAAAATAATCAATTCTTTTATATAAATGCAACTAATTTTTTTAAAAAAAATTGATAACTAAAATTTTTAATCATAAATAATTATAACAATATATCCGATTTTCAATTTAAAGGTATTTAAAAAAAATACTTAACAAAATATATAACTCAATTAAGTTATATTATTTGTGGAATAAATATTTTAGTATGAAAAAAAATTCTTATAAATATTAAATGATGATATATGTAAACGTACGAATTATACAAAATAATGTAAACTTACTTGATTATTCTCTATACTTTGATAAGTTAGAAAATAGTGAATTTTTTTTTTTGAATAACAAAAAACCTCTCAATTTTTTTTTTCTCTTCACCAGAATATGAATAAGCTTGTTTCATTGAATGAGAATTTATAGTCAAATTTTGATACATCCGTGACTTTCTTTTAAACTGTGTAACTTGTCTTTTTGTTGTTCACATGAAGAAAAAGCAATAATTCATTTTCAATTATGTAACTTTTGTCAGACAAGTATTGTCTAAAGAGACACAAATAAGTCATCT